AGTCCTCTGTCGTTTCTTTGAAATGAAATGAATTAAATATGGTTTTCTTATTGTATATTCGACATGTATCGAATTCGTTGAAATTGATTTTTTTTCCATCATAAGTAAAACAAGAAGCATTGACATTTACTCAGCACATGTGCTCATCAGATGCTGGATTTCAATATCACATGTTCCATTGTTCCCATCGACTATTTAATTGTTTGTTTATACCACATACTTACATTGATAGCTCAGGTCATATTGTCTAACCTAGTTTTGAGTGAAATTGTCAATTCTGTAAAAAACTATTTTTATTATCCTTACTGAAATACAAGGTCCAGTAACTCGATGCAATATTATTTTAAACTTTGAAATGACTTGACCGGAATGTTATCAAAAAAGAGGGAAGAACGGATACTTGTCAACAAAATGGAAAAGACTTCAAGGTCTTGATTTTGATCTAGAAACATAATAATCAGTATTGTATGGAAAAAAAAATAGTGATACAAAAGTATACATTTGGATATCAAACATGTCTGAGTATTATTACTTTAGCTATTTGAAAACAAAATATTACTAACTATATGTAGAATTTAATATTTAAGTCGTTGCATGTCATTTATAGCACATTAACTCTTAATAATTATTCATATTCAACTATCTCTTTAATGAGCCTTTTTTAAGTCTTAGAGTCATGATCTTTTTAATTAGTTGTTACTGGCTTTGAACTAGCTGTCAGTAACTGCGAGTACTCTCTGATCTGTATTAAGTGTCTCTTTGTTTAAGTGATATATAAGTACCCTGCCATGTCCTCCCTGTGTTTTTGTTACTTGTTTTCGCTTTGTATCTATTTGATGAGTTGATGGGTTAAATCCTTATCAACAGATTTGTATAGTTTATTCATTTGTTGTACTGTTACACCACAGTCCCAGGTTAGGGGGAGGATTGGGCGCTTGCTAACATTTTTAACCTTGCCACATTATGTATGTTCCTGACCCGTCTCAGAAGCCTGTTATTCAGTGGTTGTCGTTTGTTGATGTATGTCACATGTTTTTTAAAGCTGAATATGCGGTATGGGCTTTGCGCATTGTGGAAGGCCGTACAGTGACCTTTAGTTGGTCATTTCTGTGTCATTTGCTCTCTCGCCAGTGGCCACATGTGGTTCTCCTCAAAATAATCTTACTATGTCATATTTCAAGTCAAATCTTAAAACATTTTTTTTAGATAAAGGTACTGAAATGCAGACATACACTTACTGAGTTAGGATACAATAGCTGTTTTATTGCCACTATACTTTAACAAAATATTAGGCCGCCGTTATATCAAAAGCTAGAGAAGGTTAAGGCGAAAATGAAAAAGCAAATATAGTGATATGGATAAGTAAATAACAAATACAGTAGCAGCACAACTAGCAATTCACAGTACACATATTAAAAACAAGAAAGCCTCAAAAACAACTTAAAACAAAATACCAATACAAACAATATATCGTTTTTATCATCCTTAATTAACTAAATCACAATAAAGTAAATTCAAAGTACATACGAAACCTAATAACGAACTTCATTTTTCTTTGTTGTGCATTTCGTTTGTTGGCTGTCGTAACCATGTACACCACCTAATTTTCAGAAACATTGCTCTATAAACAAGTTGTACTACTGATCTATATCAAACACTGTGGTCCTTGTTTTTGTAAAAATATAGTGTGAAAGTTTACTTCTATCACAATTCAATACTTACTGTTAATTAACGAAACTTATAAAGTCAGTATGTTTAATTTAAAATATTATTTATATATTGACATAACTTTCGATATTTTTATATTTCAAGCTTAATGTTACGTTTTTCATATTTTCTTATATTTAGTTTTCAATGATTTTTTTTGGACTAAATACAATGTGTATTAGCTTCATCTTCGACTTAATGTTAAACTTCACACGTAATACACATTGTTTTTATGTTGGCATCTTATGCACTTCGTTCAGACAGCGTTGTGCTATTGGTATTGTATGAACTGTAATGGTTTATAATATCATTCAAAATATTTCTGTGTATAGATCAAAGGTTCGCTTAGGGTATGGTTTATTATATTTCTAGCGTACGTAATCTGTGTTTGCGCTTCGTTAGGCGGAAGATATTGTTCCTCAGTATACAATCTTATTGAAGTACAAAAAAAAACTATAACAAAAATAGCGATCTCCAAAGCAAAAAGAGGAAGTCCATAAAAACTGACAAAATCAAACGCTATATACATGATAAAATCAACGGAACAAGTGACAAAATATATGCCATATTTCTGACTTGGTACAGGCTTTTTCCGAAGAAATGTGAAATCTGAATGTAACATAGTTAAGAACATATACAAGAAGCAACATGAACAAGTAGCTAAAATATATAGGAATACAATCAATTGTAAAGATATCAGATATTAATATCAAACATATCTGTGTGGTAGTAGTAACTAGTATGCCATTGAGATTTTTTATCTATCCAATACAAAAGTGTATTAACGTAAATAACAATTAATACATTTAAAATCATTCGTTAGACCTTAATTCTATATAAACTGACCAAACAGAAAAAATCATAATTTATACAGGTTTTGAAATAAATATTGATAATTAAAAGTTAAAAGTAAGCTACGTAAATATGGAATTGGGCATAACTGTGTTTTAGGTTGATGCTTTGCTTGGTGTCAGTGGTGTCAGTATACATTGCAAAATTTACTTTTTTAAAACACACTACTAAAAGAAAGTTTTTCAAAACTTCCATTGGTATTTATGGGAATCAAACTATGAGGTCTCATTTTTTGTACGCAGGTAGGTTAATGCACTTTAAACACAAAATTGGCAGAGAATATTAGTATTTGCATCAAAATCTAAATCTGACGTCGTTAACCAAACTACGCGGAATCTGATTGGTTAAATCGTTTCATCGACGTCAATGTTGAGCTTGCACGTCACGTCTTACTTCGTGATCTTAGCTGATCGGACACCTTGTCACGTAAAGACACGTTTAAAAGATGGATATTGCTATTATTTTGAGGTAAGTTTGTTTTATATAATCATATTCTTTTACTATCAAAGCCCGTTCTTTTACCGTCAAAGGCCGTATATTTCATTTCATTGAAGAAAGATAAGACATATTGACAGAAAGGGGTGTTAAATTGTACACTGACACTGTCACTGGGCGTTGTTCTGTCTATTTAAAAACGGCATAGACGAAAGACAGAGTTTCTAGAAAATGAAAATAGTATGTGTAACTTACTTGGCTGTGTTAAAAAATAATGTGGGTGTTTATGAAAAGTGCTGTCAAACTGACATGCCATGGTCATATTATGAAGGAAAACACTTCTGTATATTATGAGCATAAATCTTCAAATTTCTCTTAATGCACATGATTATGTCCCATTTTCTCTTAGATATTTGAGTCGTATTATCATATACATATAACAAACACAAAGAAGGGGTCAACGAAAGAAAAAGAGAATATAGTAAAAAATATGCATGTACATGTACATTGAACACTGGAATTTTTTTTAGCTGCATCATGGCACACTGTGTGCAATCATTCCAATAGTTTGTCTGAATTTAGTAAATTATCATAAGTAGGACTTTTATATAAAAAAATAACTAGTTTTTAAAATTATTTAGTATGATGTGAACATTTTTCAAACACAATAATGATTTCATTCATGTTTTAAAATCTCATATTAAGATTTAATTCGTCTCTTTTTGTGTTTATACATAGAAAAAAAATGATTTATTGATTTATTATACTTTAAAAGGTGATATAAACACATTAGTGTTATATTGATTAACTATCAAAATTGACAAAAGGTCTGTCTGTTGTAACTATGGTGTCTAGTACAGATTAGAATCTTGGAATGTGCAGAGAATTTACGGGTATTCAAATTTTCGCATTTCTTTAGCTGCCGCAAACAAAGCAAAAATTAAACACAAGCGAGAGAAAATAAAAATATACAGTATCACATTTATCATACATGTATCATGTATTGTTGAATATATTTCATGTGGTTCGTGTCACCTGTGGGTTGCAACCAATGTGTTTCTATTCTTAGTTTGCAATGTGACAGAACTCAGTGAAATATATGCCGCGAGAAAAGATATACTCTGGCTTTTACACAGTGTGCCATTGCTTGGGTAGTTAAATTTTGTTATGGCGTCAATTTACATTGATTATATGTTAACTTTTCATACAAGACCCTTCCCAGCAGGCACAACAACGTTGATTCAACATTGAATAAACGTCAGATTTCAACGTTGAATCAATGTTGAAAAGTAGTGTTGGATTGAAAATTGATATGACGTTGAAAACATAACGTTGATTCAACGTCAGCTTTCAACGTTGAAAATAGGTTGAATTTTGGTCTAAATTTGGTCAGTGTATGTTGAAAAAAAGTCGATTGCTGGTTGAATTGTGGTTAGTGTATGTTGAAATCAGGTCGAATGTTGGTTGAACTGTAGTAAGTGTACGCTGAAATCAGGTCGAATGCTGGTTGAACTGTGGTCAGTGTATGTTGAAATCAGGTCGAAAGCTGGTTGAACTGTGGTCAATGTATGCTGAAAACATGTCGAATGTTGGTTGAACTGTGGTCAGTGTATGTTGAAATCAGGTCGAAAGCTGGTTGAACTGTGGTCAGTGTATGTTGAAAATAGGTACGATTTGGGTCCAGGTAGACTGTTTTAGGGTTAATTTAAGTTGAAACTAGAAATATGGTCAACGCTCATTTCTGAATCTGATGATTATTATTCAAGACTTGACAAGAAGAACAGGAACAATTTTAACCATGTTAACCTTACCAGGCATAGATAATCGGAAACTTTATTGTAATGTCAGTTGGCATATATTTTTGTAACTTTGTTTTTCTTTATAGACAGGATCTTGGTGTGCTTATAACTATTCTGTTTATACACAAAATATGTTTGTGACATAAAACAGTAATTATATAACAAGTTGCTCACATATGCATCTTACAATTTTAAACAAACACAAACTGAACAATTAATTTTATTTAAAAGTTTAGTCCTACTACTAGACACATTCCCAGATATAACAGGGGCATATTTTAGGTATCTTGCACAGTAGTTCCATATTGTGGTCTCTGTTGCACATTAGTCACTTGTAACTACAGCTTCTGCAACAGAAAAAAAAACATATTGTGCTATTTTTATCATAACTTCGTAAATATCATTATGCAGCTCTAATAAAGAATACTACTGTTATATGTGAACAAACTAGATATCATTGAGATGGGAGCCATCTCTGTGGGCCCCGTTGTGAATAATGGTGTTGGTTAATATACATGTCAAGTATAAACTTTGAAATCATAAAGGTTCTCTAGATATAGAGAGGACACAATGTGTTACGGACGGATATAGAGAGGACACAATGTGTTACGGACAGACAGACGGACAGACAGGCGGGGACCTAATAATCTCTGTGCAATGCTATTGTTATTTCTTTAAATATCTATTGAGAGCGACCATGTGTTTTTTTTTAACTTGAGTTCAGACATGAGAAAATAAAAATATTTCTAAAAAAAAACCAAAGATTTTAGAGACAAAGTGACAAAATCTCACACAATTTGTAATATGGAAAAACAATGATATATATTATTTCAATACTCACTTCTTATTATTTCAAACTAGCCTGAATCACCGAAGACATGTTTATTCTTTATACCCGGTAATATGTAATTTCCGACACGGGTTTATTTGTAAGACATCTACAAAAAAAAATTTTAAGTGCAGCATTTCTAAATTGTCAACTCCCTCTTTAACTTGAAAATAAAAAGTTTCATATGTGTGAAACGCTTACAAAATTTTGACTTCCAAAACCTTTCATAAATTGTTTGAAAACCTTATGGTTCAATTATTTTTATTGTAGCATGACGTTAAATTTGACCTCCATAATCAAACAAGATTCTGGAATCAGTAGCGGATCCATAAATTTTCATAAGGGGGTCCACTGACTGCATAAGGGGGGCCGCTCCAGTCATGTTTCATTGATTCCTTATATAATCAACCATTTTTTCCCTCAAAAGGGGTGCCCGGCACCGTCCCCAGCTCTGCCTCTGAGAATCAAGGGCTTTAATTATAACTTATTTAATCCTAAATTATAGTTTGAAGATCTCACAATACGCTAATGGGGTTTCAATTTTATTTATCTTGACCGTCACTTATCTTGAGAAACAATAATGCACAACAGGCAACAAGATCTTGACAGTCACTTATCTTGAGAATCAATAATGCATCACAAGCACCGAGATCTTGACAGTCACTCATCTTGAGAAACAATAATGCACCACAAGCACCGAGATCTTGACAGTCACTCATCTTGAGATACAAAAATGCACCACAAGCACCAAGATCTTGACAGTCACTCATCTTGCGAAACAATAATGCACCACAAGCACCGAGATCTTGACAGTCACTCCTCTTAAGATACAAGAATGTCCCTATATATACTTTTTTTTTAGTGTTTCGGCTGATATATAAAGCTTTGGATGGTCATCTTAAGATGCTTTACTTTAATATAATTCAAAATAAATATTATTCCCGTATAATTAACTATATTAATATATTTTTACATCTAAATTCTTCATCAGTAGATGGTTTCGGCATGGTTTTGAACCTGTGTTTACATTTTTCTTCAAACTTCAATAAATTCCAGTCTTTTGTGTTACGTCTTATTTAAGTTTACGTTAACATGCATATGGATTAAGTTTTTTAGATATTGAAACTTAAGGAATATTTTCTATTTCCTTGATTTTTTTGCGCTGTAATAATTCAATACGGTCAACTGAAAGAACATCTATTTCGACGTTATCATATAAACCACTTTGAAATTAGTCAGATCATTGTGTATTAATTTGTTATGGTCACACATGTTTCTTATCTGCCGTACTGCTTCATTAATAAATCCTCGGAATACATGCTGTGAGTGACATCTATTAATTCTGACCCAGAGAAAAAAAATTGTTTGTTTTAAATGTGTTGCAAGGTCAAGAATGCCATGTATTGTAAATCTTTGACTTTTAATTATTTATCAACATATAAAACATGTAAAAGAACATATGTGAACTTCAATAATTGATTATCATTATTTGTCAGACGAATAAATTCTTCAATTTCATCTGATGTTCCATGATATATTTTGACTCCACCCGCCCAATATCTGCAATGATAGAATTCTTTGCCATTCGCTTTTGTTTTTAATTACCTAATCATTGTTCATAAACACACTCCCTCTTTTTCAAGTCTTTACATAATAAGTTGCCTCACCCAATAAATGTACAAATATATCTAAGGTCAACACTGATGTTCCCAGAGACCTAAACAATATGTGTGTATCTTATCTGCTGGAATATGACAACTACGTGTATAGTTATAAATTATTTCTGATCTGCTTAAATCACTATACTCATATAATTACAGCTACACTATTGTATACATTAAATTATCATATAACTATTATCGATTCAAACAATAAATGAAAATTATACTTACTTTGCACTGCTGAGAGCAGCTGTTAACTTGATGTGGTAATCAAATTGGCGCAAATAAATTCGAAATGTCGGCCTCATACGCATGCGCCAATCAGAAAAAGATATCCGTTTCGAGTAATTATAATATTTTATCGCAATTTAAAGATTAATTTATATATGCAACAGTAATAATTGAATTAATTCAAAAACATCAGTAAACTAATATAAATAAAAAGTCATTATTTTAGCTAAAAGGACTATACAAAGTTGGTTCAATCTCATCTTGTATGATACTTTGGTCGACACTTAAAGTCATCAACCTTAACTAAACCTTTTATCAACGTTATATTTTCAACCAGTTAAAGCATTGAAAGCATCAACTCAAATTCAATGTTGATTCAACGTTGAAAGTTCAACGTTGATATTTCTAACCACAGATCAACGTTGATTCAACAACGTGATTTAAACGTTGATAGGATTGACGTTGATACAACGTTGATTTTACGTTGATCAACGCTACAACCAAATTTCAACATATTTTCAACGTTGGTTCAACGTTGTGTGCCTGCTGGGTTGTGAAGTTATTGGAATGTAGCATGTTGCACTTTAACACCCACATATTCGGTACAATGAATTAAAAATTTTACATCATGTTTTATTACATTAATGTAACGACTTAGTAGCCTTAGTATGCGTTATATATTTCATACCAGACGTGAGCAGCCACAATTCTTCAACAAACGACTTTTTTAATTGGTAGTGAGCATATAATTGTAACTCTGCAATTAACTTGTAGGTTATTTATAAGTGATCTGGGGTCTATTTTATTTTATTTAATAATTAGTTTATCCTACATCTAATAAGATATACAGTAACCAGCTGATTTAACTGGACTATTAACATGAATAGAACAAAATTATTTTTTTCAGTTTAGAAAAAAAACTTTCCTTTTTGGTACAGCGAATTTAGAATTCCCTATATTATATCAAACATTAAGCTTAATTATAGCAAGATGAGAGTAATTTACCTTCTAATATGAAATTTTGCCGTCTTTTTTTTTTTATAAAAAGACATTATAAAGTCCTCACTCTGACTTCACTGAGACTTTGAGATAAAGAAATAATTTGATTGAATGCGGATAACCAGAAAATAAAATGAATAAAGTTTTGAATCTGACGGGAGAATAGTGAAACCTTTTTTCTTCAAAGGTATAACTAAAACAAGTTAATGTAATATGCTAGGTCATCCATGATGAATTGAAGGGGAGAACTACACCAACTTCATGTGAACCAACCATTTCTTCGACTCTTTGGTTGGTTTGTACTTTGTCTGTCGCTTAGTAAAATTTTCTTCGTCCATCGAAAATAATTTCTTTTCAAATTTGAGTTTAAATGTACCGCCCTTTCCGTGCATCTGACGTACCAAATTAGATATCTGGTATCTGAAATGATTTTTTTTTCTTCTTAAAAACAAATATTTAGATACTACAATCCACCAAAATAGAAAAAAAGTCAAAAGTTTTATACTTTTAAAAACTTCACCTACGTAATGAAAACATGCGAAGACAACGCGTTCTATATAACAAATACAAAAATAAATTGATATTAAGACATCTTATGTCATTGCAACGAAGGATCGCAGTTATTATCAATCATTTAACGTTAGAAAGTTTAAAACTTTTAAAGTTAGCCAAAATGTGTTTACCTTCTGATATTAAAATTATCCCGCTCTATACCCTAAATTCAATTCTGATATAAAACATTGTCGGTTTATATCCTGCATAGAGTGAGATACGAAAAAGTAAAACGAAAATCTGCTTAATTTTGATTGGCTTATCTGCATCACAAGACGACATTGCGGCATTTCCATTCTCTCTTCGTTATGTCATTGCTGACTTTCAAAGGTTACGACAATGAACATTTCGTTCATGGCAATGGCCATCAGTGATTTCTTCAATAATATAAAAAAACACACACACACACACATTTCACCTGACAATCTTCTTTTTGTAAATTTGTATTACATTATGAAGCTAACAAAAAGTCTAAAAAAGTCTGATGTTCAAGTTTGACACCGGAAAAAGACTGGAATGTGCAAAAGACTAGATCAATATTTCGCTAAATTTTTAATTTAACACATTGCGAGTGTTGACCATAAGAGAATTAGGTTTAAGTATTTGTGAAAATTGGATATTGCTTGATATCAACTCTCGGTATTTAATTTAAAAAGTAATAATATATATTGAAATTTAATAACGACAGTTGATATCAAGCGATATCCCATTCTCACTCGTTATGGATCCTATAAGTATCAACAAAAAGAATTATAATATCAATGAAAAACCTAAAAATATAACAAAAGCTTTATTTTTTAATTTCAGATATCAACACAACATACAATTTGAGATGGTGCTTCATACATTTTCAAATACATTATTAAATGAAGACGATTTGTTTTGGGAAATAAAACATCGCATGAGAGATAATTTTAAAAAATATAAAAAATATGAGGTTTGTTTTCATCCTTGTTGACTATTTGATGGAATATAATTTATACTTTAACTTTATCAACTTATCATTTTTTTTATCATTTTTTGATTAATCAAACTTGGTTAAACCACTCGACAAATTCGAGAACCAGATAGATGCACCAAATGCACAAACATATCCACAGACGATAGTTTGTATAAAACATCAATAATTATCTGTAGAGCGAGCGAAATCGTTGATGCGCTAATGTATCCACTGATACATTGACGTGTACCTTGTACATTATATGCAAGAGTGATTGATATGTTCAATTAAATAATTATACATATGTCTGTAGTTGCATATATGTGTTCACATGGTTATAATCAAAATAAAAAAATATAAACATATTTATATGATAGCTAATTGAATTTAAGCAAGGATGTAGACATGAACAGTCTATTCAATAGACTATGTACTATATAATTATACAACAGGTCACCTTTTCTGTGGTAGAACATTTTGGTACCTAGTCAAGTGAGAGCAAGGTAAAGAAGTAAAATCAAGCTTTTAATCGGTACTATTTTGGGGGAAATTTAACTGCTTAACATTTTCTTTACATGACAAAATCATCGGAAAACAGGTAGTAAACTTTTCCCTAAAATTACACCTATTATATGTTTGATTTTACTTATCTTCGTTGCTCTTACTTGACCGAGTTCTAGGATGTCCTAACCCAGAAAAGGTCGCCTGTCAACAAAGTTGAAGTCAGAAGTTGGTAATATGAAAACAGTATATTAATACTAGCCCTTTGTTTGCGTTTTTAAAATGGTTTGAAACAATGCCAAGGTGTTCAATTAATAGTTTGATATAAGGATGTTAACATCTGAGGAGCCAAACATTTTTAGAAATAAATTTGTTTTCTTAACCTTAATTTTGGGTTTATATGACTGTAAAAAAGTAACTTACGAAGAAAAAATCATATGGTGGTTCACTTCTTTTTTTGCTACGACCATTTGAAAGTACCGATTTCTTATGATTTTCCCATTTTTCATCATTTTTACCCATTTTTTGGCTATTATCATGAAAAATATTATAATTTCACAATTACACTTTTTTTCTACTTTCACTAAAAATGAAGTGGACCAATCTGGATAATTTAACTAAAAAAATCTATAGGTTGATGTTAATTTTACGAAGTTTCTTAAATTTGTGTTGTTTTTTTGTGTAAAATTGACTATGCTGTCGATTTTGTAAATTTGTGATTTTTTTTCTTTTTTAGAACAAAAAGCATATTATTTCAACTTCTTTGTTATAAACGACTTAAAAAACAAATATCTAAGAATTTCGAAATGGAAAAAATTGATATGGGATGTACATACCTTTGGTAAAATCATTTCATTGTACCCTCACCTATTTTCTCAAAATTTTGGCTGATTGCAATTTAAAAAATGTATTACTAAAAAAATACTTATTGTAAGTACACAATGTGTTCACAGAGATTAGTTTGTTTATGATATGTTTTATATTCATTCATATTTCCACTTGTATCACATGTTTTGGAAATAATTCCCAAACGAGATTTCAACGAGACTGAAACCTCAAAAGAATACATCCTTAACAAAACATGTGTGTTGAACCAGATATTCGTTGATAAAAACTACTAAAAATTCATTACTATTCGTGGAATACTACTTTTATTATTATTTCGTGGGTATAGTCGAACCACGACCAAAAATATTAAACGAATACTAAATTCTCTGAAGACTTTGATGCAGATTTTGACAAAAATAGAAAATGGAAATATCCGCAAAATAAAAAATAAAAGGTTCTGCAATCCACGAAAATTGAAAACCACGAAAATGATAAAATATATTTACTTATACGTAAAACAAATAATGAACCTTTATGAACTCGTAAAACTAATTATTTGTCCGAAAAGAAATATCAATACATGTACCCGTAAATGCATATCTTTGTCCACATAAGTAAACATCAACAATATAAATTTACCCGAAGACATATATAAATTTGTTGTATTCTGATTGTTTAGAAAATTCTGTTAATATAGTATAATTCTTTGAGTGCGTCGCTAAGAAAGTTTTAACCCCATATTCCTAAAATCCGGTATCGTTTACCACTTTAGACGTTTGCTAACACGTCAATACAAATAAAAAAATAGTTATCCATGTTTTGGCAAACGTTCAACTGTTCATTAGTTATTGAGAAGTTTAAAACAAACAAATTATTGTCCGATCTTAAAAACATAAATACAAATACCCGTAATAAACATATTTTTGTCCACGTGACAACACTAAAATTGATGACATACATGTAGATATATCCGACAACTTATCAATTACATGCATTTTAACATGTCTACCTTTTAAGACAGGGACAATTTGGTATATAGTATTTACCCTTTGTGTGCTACTGCAAACTTGTTTCTAAACCATGTTTTCATGTCACAAAATTCGAAGACCAATTGATTTGTTGATAAGAACACATTTGAAAATATTTTGCTCTAAGCTGTAACAGGAGTGATTGAGGTTTTTCCAGCTTCGTGTTTCTTTTTTAAAAACCTAACTTAACCAGTTACAAGCTCGATTAAAAAAAAATTAGTCGCAGTCTCAGTACGTGAAAACCTGGACTGAAATTGTAATGCTATTTTTTAAAGCAAATAAATGTTTCAATTTACATTCTATTGATCTAGAAACAGAACACCAAAAGTTAACCAATTATCATTCATCTCATTCATTCGTATATTAAATGAAGATAACACTCTATAAATTGGGTGCGTCCGAAACGTTTTACTGTATAAACTCCATAATATTCAGAAATATCAAACCCATGGTTGTGTCATTGTAGCATACTTGCATT